GTTCCAGCACGCCCTGCGCTATTAGCTTATCGAGTTGTTCGTCGATTTTAGGCTTCAAGGCGAATGGCACCCGACGTGGCTTAAGGCGGATGGGTGCTATCTCAGGGTTCAAGTTAAATGAGATCGGGGTCCCCTTGTACTTGCCTAGTCCGTTCGCGAAAACGTCTTGGAATTCTTGCACGAGTGCCTCCTCCCAATCGTTGCTCTCGGCTCGGTGGACTCTGGCTACAGTAATTCCGAGCGGCCTGAACCATTGAAGGCCTAAAAGACTAGGCCTGTCGCGGTCCACGACAGTCAGTGGCAGAGCGACGGTACGGTCCTTGAAAGAGATCTGGAATCTGCGGGACCTGACGACGGGAATTCGGTTGCCCTGATAGTCTTTGAGTATAACCCTTTGAGGGTTAAGGTCTTGGCGGCGAATCGTTGGAATGAGCTGTTGGAGCGTTTTCCACGACACCATCGAGAGGGAAGATCCCGAGTCTACCTCCATCACGCAAGGTTTGTTTTCGATGGCGACCTTTACTTGGATTTTCCCGGCATCAAGGGATGTAGCGTGGCCAATGGTGATTGTTTGGTGGGTCTCTTCCCGTCTGGGTTCTTCACGCTTGGTGGAAGTGGTGGACGGCTTGTTTCTGTAGGAGTGGTTTCCCCATTGGTGGTTCAGTTTTTCTCGGTGTGTGCCGAAGAATCCTGAAGATTGGCATTTGGCCTGTCGGGGTTTGGAGTTTTGTTTGCTTCTGCAAACCTTTGCGATGTGACCTCGTCTCCCGCAATTGCGGCAGAGTGCGTCGAGGAATTTGCAGCTGGATCGTGGGTGATTCGCCCCACATCCTGCACACGGTCGGAATGAGGGTTGTGTGAACTGGTCTCGTTCCGTTCGGAGTCGGTTGACCTCTTCCTCATCGCTTTCTGATGGGGATTCTAGGTCTTCGTGGTGAGTCGATACCGGGTGTCTCTCTGAGTGAGGCGAGGTATCATTGGCGAGTTTACGTAGCGGTGCGTTGGTGCGGCGCATTCGGGCTGCCGACTTCTTGGTCGCTTCCGCAGCTGAGGCTTCTTTAAGGGCATCGTTGAGGCTGATGTCCCCCTTAGCCATAATTTTGCTCTGGATCGTGCCGTCTTCTAGGCCTAGAACCAGGCGGTCCCGGAGGGCTTCTTCTAAGTCGGCGAATCCGCAGAGGCCTCCAAGGTTGCGGAGGTCCGCGATGTAATTGGCAAGGCTTTCGCCCTTCCGTTGGTCCCTCTGGTAATATTCGTGTCTTCTGACTAAGGTTGGCACGGTGGGCGCGTAGTGAGCCCGTAGTAAAGGCTCGAGGACGTCCCAGTCCATCTCTTTTACCTCTGCTGGCTTGGCAAGTGATTTTGCCATTTTAAACACGGTAGGCCTGCAGTGAGTTAGAAAGATAGCTCTTTTTTTCCGGTTGTTACATCTTTCAAATTGTTGGTCTCCAGAAACATCTGGAACCGATCCATGTATGCCTCCCAGTCTTCGGTCTCTGGGTTGAATGGAGCGGGTGGTACGGCACCACTGGCCATGTTGCCGTTGATGGTGCGTGTTCGACCACGTGCTCTGTGAGTTGCTCTGTAACTCAGTCAGCTCTTCGGTCTCCGGATCCCACCCTCGTCGCCAGTGTTAAGTTTGGGAAATAATGGAGACCAGACATCTGACCAGTGACTTCAACTCTTTAATAATTGTAAATAGAATAGAACAGAGCAAGGCTATGGGCAACAGCAACCCTTTTATAGGGTTATCTGCTACCTTGTTAACCAATGACATGTGCAATAAGTTCAAACTTATAACCAATGAGAAGTGTCCAAATAGTGGCCAATCAGGGACTACTTATGGACCAATCCCTAGTTGTTGTATAAGGGCCAATCAGGTATGCAGGTTCCCAAACCCTGATTTGCATTTATGCTAGTAACTTTTATTGATTCACAACAGAAGGTCAGACCGATCTCTCTCACAGCTTTTGTAGTCTTTCCGCCCTTTTCTGCTCGGATCTTTCAGGCTGTCACTTTTCGCTTCGTCAGTTCAGTGACAGACCAGACTTTGGAGCCACCATTAGCTGGCGGCTGGCTCAATCGCACTGGTCTCAGAGGCTCTTCCTGCGTTGCTGGGGAGTTGCCTTCCCCCAAACAGCAACCCGGGGGTCCTCTATTCTGACACGAAGCTCTACGGGTTTCGTGTATCCACTGGGGATCCCTCCAAACGCGAGAAGAGGTGTTCGAAAACCACAGCTGGGCTTCTCCACCTCTGGACGTCCCTGTCCTGCCACCGGAAATCGCTCCAGGATTTTTGACATATGTGGTACACTGGTTCTGAGATGACATTTTCCAGCTCCTTTAGAACTCTGGGATGTAATCCATCAGGTCCCAGTTATTTGTATTCATCAAGATCAGACAAGTGTTCTCTTGCTATTTTTTTGCTTATTTTAACTTTTCTTTCTAGACTGTCTTTTATAGTTATGTTTTTGGTAGGTTGGGCTATAGTTTCTTTTTGCAATGAAGACTGATGCAGAGAATGAGTTGAGCAGCTCTGCTTTCTCTCTGTTGCCTGTTACTTCCTCGCTGTCTTCTCTCTTTAGTGGACTGTTTCCTTGATTTTTTTCTTGTTTATATGTTAGAAGAAACTTTTTTATTATTATCTTTGACTTTTGTTGCAAGCCTTTGTTCATTCTCAGCCTTTGCTTTCCTGTCTTCATCTTTGCAGATTCTGACTATCTGCTGATATTCTGCCTTAGTTGTTCTTATCCTTTTTTGTCTTTCAATTTGTCAGAGAGATCTTTGTGCAGCCATGCTGGTTTCTATTATATTGGGATGGGCTTTTATGGTCATATTTTTCAGAATTTCCCAAAATTCTTGAGTTGTTTTCCCCTTTAGGATTTTTATCCAATAAATCTTTTACAAGTTCTCTCTGAGCTTGTTAAAATCAGCTCTTTTAAAGTCTAGGACCCTGGTATCATTGTGTTCTATTGCTTGTGTTTGCGCTATGTTGAATTCTAGTATGATATAATATATTGTTGGAAGAATTATCCTGCTGGGTTCAGTTCCAAGTGGGGAAAAAGACACTGGAAACATGGAGGCTGTTTGGAAAGATGGTTTAATGGTGGACAGGACCACATTTCTTGGAGCTCCAAAGTGAAAAGGACGATCAGATGCTTCAAGATGTTGGATGAAGAAAAGAAGGGAAAGGGCTGATATGCTGAGAGTGCCTGGGTTTTATACTCTCTGTTGGGATTTGAATTTGAGCTTGTACTCTGATTGGTTGTCGGACTCCCATGGGACCATGCAGGGGCAACTCTGTAGGCTGTCCTGAGTCCCAGGCTGGGTTGAGCCTTGCTGGATGATGATGTAATGAAAGGGCTTTGGGCAATTCCTATTATAACTCTACCTGGAGTAGATCTTTGTTATATAAAATAGACTGGCCTAGGCCAGAGTAATGGTCCATTAGCAAAGGTGGGGATGAGCTTCTGCTTCTGAGGTGAGTTTCTGTTTCTGAGTTTCTACTCTTTTTAGGGGAAATATTCTGCCTTTTTAATATTTCCTAGGATATTTCATTTTTCCAAGAGAGGGGTGGGTGCTAACTTCCTACAATATGATATAGTTGAAATTACAGAAACTTGGAAGGAAACCCATGACTGGAAAATACTGATAGAAAAAAAAACAGATCCCATAAAAAAGGAGTGTTCTGACTCAGCCTTCACAAGTAGTGATAAGATGTTTACTCACAAGTAAAAGAAACATCTTTTTATAACAGGGCAGTTACACTCTTTTATTCACAGGGACAAACAAAAAAAGCAAACATAATTAGTCCCAACAAACCTGGTTTAGCCAAGAAATCCTAATTGCTTGTATACTAGAAATGAACAGATGTCTGTGACAACCAGCTATTCCCAAACCCCTCCTATTTATTTCCCAGCCAGGGAGGGGCTGGCTATCATCTGCGTCTGCCTCTCCCCGAGAGCAGGCTTAATGCTTTCCTTTATTCAACTCTCTTTTCCTCTCTGCGCATATGTGCATCTGGTATGGGCCCCATCTGCTCCTCCCTCCCTCAGCTCAGGCCCCAAAGACAGCTGCCTCTCCATATAGGGGAGGATGGAAGGCCCTGGCTGTCTCTGTCTCTGATGCTGTGAAGCTGGCCCAGGCTCTCCCTCTACCTTCTCATCTGACTCTGCAGCTATCCATGCTGACAGCCTACGGACCACAACAAGGAGATGGAGTTGTACTATATGTAAAAGACTACATTGCTACAGAAATGCATGAAACCAAAGACAAAAACCTCCTAGAATGCATATAGGTCAATATAAAAGAAAAAAGAATGACATTGTGATAGGTATATACTCAGGCCATACAACCAAGCAGAAAAAATAGATGTATTGTTTTCTAACCAATTAACAAATATATGTAGGAAACACACTACAATAGTAATGGGGGACTTCAATTAACCTTACATCTATTTTTATGTTGTAAATAATTTATGTAAATTACAAATAAGCAGCATAAACAGATACTGCTTCTTTCATTTATATATAGATAACAGTTAATCTGCATACTGTTGAAGTCTATCAAACCAGATACAGATTTTTTTCTTGTAACAATAATATTTTCAAATATTTGTTTAACTGGGACTATCAAGAAAAAAACCTATCTGGTTTGATAGACTTCAGAAGTATGCAGATTAACTGTTAACTATATAAATGAAAGAAGCATTATCTGTTTATGCTGCTTATTTGTAATTTATATAAATTATTTACAACATAAAAATAGAATGCTCCTCATCCAATGGTTGAAATCATGATGAATTTTCATACTATATCATTCATATAACTAGAATTCTTGTAAATAAAGCTTCATTCAGGATTTTAACCAAATATTTTCTTCTCTATTTGAAAGTTTTGATTGTAATGTTTGTAAATTGTAGTAGCAATAATAGTTGTACCGGTCTATGAAAGTAGTCATTATTTTTTCTGATTGTTGCACTTCATCTCCTCTCCATCCAGTTGTCCATTGATGAACGTATCAGGCAGCTGCATGAGGCCCACCGAGATTTTGGCCCCACTTCTCAGCACTTTCTTTCCAGTAAGTAATATCATTTCTGTTGTTGTTGCTGCTGTTAACTTACACAGTGATCCTTGTATTTTGAAAAGCCTACCACAGATAAAATATTGTGCTGCTTCTATTGTGTGTATTCTATTAAGTGTTGTACAATTCAGCAATTCAGATGTGTTTTAAGTTGAAGCATTCTGCAACTCTGCATTGCACACTTAAGCTCTTCCTGTCATGAGCTAATGCTGGTTGGACTCAAAGCCATCTTAAGAATACTACAAGCTAGCATAGCCACACACACACACACACACACTGGATAATTTCTCTGCTGCTGTGTTGACACAACTTTCCACAGGAGCTTAAAAATGACATTTGCCTTCCTTTTTGTGATTTCATTCACTGAATATGCATACTTTTAGTAGAGTATATGTGTACATTGGTCCATAAATACATAACCATATATATTATAAAATTTATATAGACAAAGCTAAAAAATAAAAATGCACACATGCAGACAGAATAATGAACTTTAAAATCAACATTCCTTTATGAAGCAATTTCATGCTTATTCAATGAATTCTGTTTCAGCTAACATTACAGAAACTTTTCATTCATGGTTCTGGTCGTGCAGTATATTTGCCTGATATGCAGAATATCACTGCTTTGAAATCCAGATTTTTTTTTTTCAATTACTATTTTTTCTTTATCTAAGTTTGTTTTTGTTGTGATGAAAACCACCTTAAGTGACTGGAAAATGATAAAACCAGTACATTTGTTTTTTAAAACCCCAGTGGAATATGTAACTTGGGAAAACAAAAACATTTGGCAAGGTTTTGAAGCAGTGATTCTTTGCATATCTGGAAAATGTTTATTCATTCTAATACCAGGATATAATTGCTAACAGTTGCTGCAGACTGGTAAATCAATCCAGATGGAAGATAAGTCCTAACTTTGTGGCAATAGTCGACTGAAGAGGAAAGATTTGCCTGGAAGAAACTAAATGTGGCAGACAAACTGCAGACAAATGATATTTGAGCAAGAACAAACTGAAACATACTATCAAAAAAGGGAGTGACAGACAGAAGTCACATTCATACTAAGTTGGAAGTTATTAAAATACTCATGATTTGACAACATGGCAGCAAGGCTATGTCTTTTAACTCAAAATATTATACAATTAAATGGAGAAAGAAAGTACCCTACACATGCATGCTTCTCCCTATCCAACCACACATCCACCCACCACAGCACACACACCAGGTATTGGAGATATAAGGAAAACTTTTAACTTATTAAGAACCCACAGATCAACAATGTCCAGTGACAGAAAAAAATGATGCTGGCTTCTGGTTTGGGTTTCTTCGGTGACGGACTGAAATCCGTGCGTGGTTTTGATCCATGCTTGCTGCTGGAGCGCCCCAATCCTTTGGATACGGGGCTGAAGCCACCCTGTAGAGGTGGCAAAGAGGGGAGAGACTGCCAGCTGAGTTGAGGGGAGCCGCATCTCTCCTCTTCGGCTGGTCTTTACTCCCTTTCCTGAAGGCAGTTGCAGCGGTGGTCAGAAATGGCCACCTCAAAGAGGAACCCGACCGGACAAGATTGAGCAGGAGGAAGACAAAAGGGAGAGCTTGACAGACCAGGCTAAGCAGAGATAACATCTATGCAAGGTACCCTGGAATTTAAATTATCAAGACTCTTACTCCTAAAAGAAGATTTTTAAAGCGGCGGAGGAGAGAGGGAAAAGGAAAAAAGATTTTTTTTCCCTCACGCTGACAGCTGCAATTGGCTTTGAATGCTAAAAAGAAGAGATTTAAGCAAGACATTTGTGTTAATCTACTTTGACACTAACAGGCTATTTTAAGCTGAAATTAAAGTGTCAAAGGGAAGATAAAGACTTTCTGGATATTCTAAAGCCTTCAAAAGGAGGAAAGTAGAGGAAAAAAGAAAGGGTGGGACTTGGAAACAACAGAGAGTACCACCTGGAAATAAAAAGAATTAACAGTGGAATTTTAACAAGACTTCCAAAGGCTACATTGTAACTGAAACTTTGTTACAAGATAACAGAGCCCCCCGGAAAGGGAAAGTGGAAAAAAGAAGCAAGAAGAAACAGTTTTGGATTATTTGGTGATTTTTGGAATTTGGAGTGTTGGATTTCTAGTGTTCTGAACTAAAAGTAATCGTTTGGTTGTTTAAAAGTGCTTAAAATTGCAGTACTCCTATTAGTCCTATTAGTTCTCCTATTGCCTTGCCCCTGGGATCCCATATGGTCCCAGAGATTTACTATTTTTCTGGTCTCTATTGCTGTTTTCAATTCAGACCAAGTAATATCTTTGTTTAATAATTCTTTCATCTCTTCCCCAATTACTTTATCCTTCATTTTATCTAAATAGTTTCTTATCCTGTCCTCATTGACCTCCTTTTTATATAAGTCTTCAAAATACTTATGGGCAATTTCTTTTTTCTGTTCTATCCCCTGTTGTGTATCACCATTTCCATCTATTAATTGGTAAATCAATCTTTTTTCTTTCCCTTTTTTAAGTCTATAGGACAATCATCTACCTGGCTTATTAGCGTGCTCAAAATAAGTTTGTCTAGTTGTATTCAGATTTATAATCATTCTCTCTTGTTCAATTACATTCAATTTGTGTTTAATTATTGTCATCTGTTTTTGCAATCTTGAATTGTTTGGAGTACTATGTAATTGAATTTCTAATTCTTTAATTTTTTGTTGTAATTTATTTTACTTTTTTCCTCTTGGCATTATAAGAAATTGTTATATCTCTTACTACTGCCTTCATTGTGTCCCAAATGTTTTGTTTCATAGTTGCTCTATTGTTATTTTCCTTTAAGAAATACTTTAATTCCTCCTTAAGTTTGTTCTTTTTGTCTAATTAACTGCGTATTTAATGTCCACCTTTTCCTGGGTTTTTTTCTACCTTTCCAGATTATCTGAATTGGACTGTGGTCTGCCCATTCATTGGGTAAGATTTCAATCCCTTTTATTTCATTTGCTATTTCCCCATTCATCCATGCCATGTCAATTCGTGTCCATATTTGGTGGGGGTTTGAATAGAATGTAAATTGTTTTTTCTCAGGGTTTAACCTTCTCCATTTATCAATCAAATTTAACTCCCTCATCATTTCCATACACATTTTTGGAAGCTCTCTTTTTTTTTTCCTGTTCCTCCCCCCAATACTGTGGTCTTTTTGGTAATCAGCAATAGCATTAAAGTCCCCTGTGATACAAATATTTCTTTTTTCCAATCCTATTTTTTCATATAAATACTTAACAAACTCTTTTTGCTTTCCATTCGGGGCAAAAATTACCACTAAAAGGATTGGAATAGCATTGATCCAGATCTGCAAAACCAGAGATCTTCCATCAGGATCCGACTATATTAACTTTGCTTTCATGTCCTCTTTCACATACACTGCGATCCCTTTCTTTTTCCCAACATCTGCTGGTGCAGTAAATAGCTTCCCTAATTTTGGGCATTCTAAATATTTTTCATCTGATTTCTTTATATGGGTTTCTTGTAGGCATACTATGTCTGCGTTTTGCTTGATTAATTTGGCTATTGTCATTTTCCTTTTTATGATAGAGTTTAAACCGTTTATGTTAATTGACAATATTTTCCTTTCTTCTTCCATTATTTAATTTTGTTTCGCTCTTTGCCTTGTGACTGCTCCAGTTTCTCTTTGTGCCTGGAGGTGTATCCTATCTTCTTCTCTCTCCTGATGTGGTTGACTATTTCCTTGGTTTCCTAAACCTCCATATCTGTTCTTAAGTTGGTCTTGATCTTCTTGGGAGTTCGTTTCTAATTCATCCTTACTGCTCTGCTCTTCTGGGCCTACCAACCTTTCATATAATTCCTGGGCCTTTTCCATAGAATCTATTTTAATTTTCCTTTCCTCCCACGAAACTAACATTCCCTCTGGGACTAACCATTTAATCTTTTAATTTAAAATTAACTCCCTCTCTTTTCTGTCAATAGCTCTGAAACTTAGTTTCTGCTATTTTTAGAGAGCTTTAAAAAGCACCCCCTTTTGTTTTGAATCCCTCTATTCCAAACTCCTTATTATTTAAATTGGGATAAATTCCTCAGCAGAAAGTTAGAGAGATGTCTCACCCAGTGCAGCCACACTGCTCCTTGATTTTTTCCTTCCTTTCTCTTTCCCAGCTGTCACAGCTTCGGTTCAGCCATAATGGCTGTCTTCTTTCCTGCCAGTTTCAAGGGGCTTTCCCCAAATCTAATGGGAGATTGCACTTCTCCTCAAGATCTATGGGGATTCCCCTCTATCTTTGTCACTCCTCCAGTGTGACTTTTGGCCCTTAGGGGCCTCCAGGCAGGCAGAAATCAGATAGGTTCCACAGATTCTGTTCCCCTGTTCTGCTTTATTATGACATCAGCTTCCTTCTCCATGTGCACTTTTCTTCTGTCATTGGCACTTCTTGTCCTTTATATACTATTTCTCCCCTTGCTTCTTATCCCTCTTCCATGTTGAAGTGGTGATCATAAAATTCCATTACTTTGTCCAATGAGTCCAATCTATATCTTTTTTTATGCCAAGTAACTAATATTCCCTCAGGTATCAGCCATCTGAAATTTACATTGTATTTAATCAACATTGTGGTCAAAAAATGCTATTGTTTCCGTAAGTCTCTTACTCTCCTAGGGATCTGTTTCAAGACTACCTTATGTTGCAATGGTTTGTCTCTTGCCTTGTTAAGTATTTCGTCTCATTGATTTTTTTCACAAATCTCACATGTACTTCTCTTGGAAGATTATGCCGCCTTGCGTAATTCGTGTATATGCTAAAATTTTTGTCTGTTTCTGCTTCCATTTCCTGCTTATCCATCCCTAGCGCCTTTACCAACAACTCTTTCATTGTGTCTGGTAGATCTTCCCCCTTCTCCTTTTCTATGTTCTGAAATCTCAGATAGTGAGCTGCTTTTTCTATTTCCAACATTGTCATGGTGCTTTTTAGCTCTTTGTTTGCTTGTGCCAGTTTATAATTTATGTTATCCACTT